ACATAATATAATGCCTCCTTGGTATAATGGATTATTGTGCCAAATTCCCTTTTTTCTATTCTAACATGATGTTCATAGAAGTCAATTTTTTTACACTTGGCGTCTTTTGGTAAACATTTTTGTATCAAATTTTGTAGAGTTTTCTCCCCGACATACCTTAATCACTTATGTTATATTTTGAGAAATTTCATATGAATATTCATTATTTTAAATAGTACAAATAGTTATTTTTTACATGAATGTGTGTTTATCAAGTAAATATAAATTTCTTTTGAGTATCATTCAGCCAAAAGACTCCTCATACCAACTTTAAGACTCCACATTCCATGGTCACTTTATAACCACTAAAGTCTAGGGCATGTATGTTGACCCCTACCTCTCTTCGCGGGGGAAGGGGATGCTGGGAGGCTGCCAAAAATTTAAACAATCAAATGACTCCCACATAATTATGATTGTGATTGAATGATATACATTAGGTCTTTGAAAACTCAAATTTAAATCATATATTTCATCAATCAAAACTAACTAGTATATGTTAAATATTATTGAGAGGGTGATAGTTTGAATATCTTGAACCAATAAAAAAAAAAAGAGGATGTATCTTTCTCACTCACTAGCTAGCTTCTAAAACATGTGAGGAGATCGAACTGTGTTTATGCAGAAGGTGTATATTTCAAACACAGAACACTTGTTAGTTTGAATGGCAGGATGAGGCACTTGAAGTGCCTGAAAAGGCTGAGAAATTCATATAAGTAAAAGACTATAGAATAATATATCACCTTAGCCTAGAAAATGCTGAAGAAGAGGAAGTTGAATTTAGCAGTCCGTTATGCCAAACAACTATAGCTATCATTGATCCCTGGTCAGAGAATTTGTAGAACTTTAATTACATTGAAAATGGTGGTTCTAGCAAAACATATTTTATAGGACATATTACAAGTATGATGAATCCCCCTACAAGTATAAATAAGGAGGTTGCAATGAAAAAAAAAAGGAGGTTGCAATGAGAACGACACACAATCTGCAGGCAAGAATAAAAAACTTATGATAAATGCAAGCACTTACGGGCATTACTGAAGACTTGAAATGCGATCAGAGAAATTTTGGAAAGTATACACTAACTATAATCCACCTGCATGCGACAGCAAATGACTTCTAAATGTCCGCTGATAACCTACAAACTAATCTAACAAAGCCTGCATAGCACAACAGTTTGTGTATATGATAACCTATAGACTAATCCAACAAAGCTTGCATGGCACAATAGTTTTCCTATAAGACGCAATGAGCGGCCCGTAGCATAGCACTACGACCTGCTTGCTGGCAATGTTGGAGAATTTATACTGAAAACAGTCCACTTACATGTGTCAGTTAATGACTTTTGAATGATCAGCACTTGCCAACAAAAGTTGCATTGCGCGATAGCCTACCTACGCAAAGTAACAAATGGCCCGTAACACAGCGCTATGACCCACCTGCAAGTAGCGACAGGGAATTTACGATGAAAGCTACAAGCTACTACGTAAACCGAAGAAATAAATTTGCATCGCCAGGTTATTAAACTAGATAAATCAGTTTACTTACAAACGACAGATGAATGACTCCTGACGCGCCGTGCAGCACAGTTGTAGGCAGGAGTATATTCATAAAGGTTGAATCTAGGGGAAAATGATAATATGCAGAAGATGAAATGAGCTCAATTGCACTATCAATGTATGACAAATGAAGTCCTACACATTGCTGAAGTGTGCCACTAGATACGCAATACTTGTACAAGCCGACATAAGGTGATACCTATATAATAACACCAATCTATATGATAAAATAAATTATGCATGTGCTCTGACCGTTGCTTTAAACCCCTAATTCATAGGTCCAAGAATGCTACATGGGTCAAATATTCAAGTTTCATGCTCCTTGAAATGACTGGAGTCGATACGACTTGGATTAATAAATGAATGCTTAATCAAAAACATTGCAATTGACCTTAAAAACCCCGATTATGACCTTGTTGATAGAAAATCTCAACAGGAGGTGACCCCAAATATTTAAAATGCCTCCCAAATTCTTACGAAAATACAAGTGACTTTAATGTTACCCCGATGATAGTCATGTTGAAAGTAAATCTCAATCGGATGGGTCAATTCTTAGCATATAAATAAAAAGTTATTCACTAAAAACTTAAAATTAAAATCATCTACCTCTTGTAATCATCTGTTGGAGGTGATAAATTTAAAATTAACATCATCTCACAAAGAGTGAATGTCATGTCTGGTGTATCACAAAGATTTATCCTGATATAGTCTCTTACCAACAGGGACGTGGTGCGTGCCCTCTGATTGGGTGATTTTATAACAAAATGACATCATTATATTACGATCACGACCAAAGCCCGTATGTTCCCTAATGGCATTAAACCCTTGAGTAATAAATCATAAGGTATATTCGATAGGCATAAATCCCTCTGTCAGCTAAGGCAGATTCAGATCTATCCCTTTTGGAAAATGCCGCCCCAGGTCTACAAGGTATTCTTGGATGAAGCAACTCATGGATGTCAATAAGGTGCCTTCTGTCATGTTGGATCGACTACCTCCTCTGACTGAGTAGACTAGGGACCCTGATAGCTCAAGATGACAGAACCATGGGGTCTTGATCGGGCTCATATTCATTCTCCACATCATTTGTTTTAAGTTTATGGTGATAAACTTTAAAATTCAAATTTAAATTCAAACTCTAAAATTGTTCCTATTATACGCTGAGTTTGTAACTTATGCAACCTATCTTATATAATTAGCCTAAATCGAAAGTTCTCTCTTTTAATTGGGAGGGGTAATTAATTATAGGGGCTTGCACTTATAGGAAACCAGAACTCATATTATAAAGTCCTCACAAAATGAGGGAAAAATCTATGGGTAGTGTCTTATATACAAACTCAATTCGTCTTATGAAAATTTACCCCGGAACCTAAACTTGCTAAAACTCTTCTAGCCCACATAAACAAACAAGAAAGAGATAATGTGGAGAGGCCAGGGCGCGGAATTTTCGGATCCCACAACCTAGTAAGATCATGTTCTTCTTCCTATTAGGAAAATATCTAATTTCTATAAATCGTTTAATTATATCATAATGCCGCTTCAATTATATTGTCTACACCCCTTTTGGTCAATAGATGTTTTCATTGCCCATAAGCAAAACTCCTTCGTCAAGCTCCTCAAAAATTGAAAACCAATGCCATATTGGACACGTAATAAAAACATCAAGAGTCTAAAATCCAACATCATTTGAACTGTATGAAAATGAAACTAAGAATATTGATTCTTCTTCATCACCAACTTTGTGTACTACATCTACATTTTATTTGTCTTTATTCATGTAATCCTTCTTCCAACGCTCTTTATGATGATAATACACACATTCATCCTTTGTAGTGCATCTCCGCAATGGCACATTCATTCATTGTAGGATCTCTTCATAATGATTCTACCTTTAACTTCAAACAAGAACTACCTTGCACATTGAATTTGTCATATTTCCTATTGTACATCATGCCTCTGGATGTTATCAGCGTTTTAGATGTTGTATCTTTGTGATCAAGTCGATCCTCCATTCAATTCTCTTTATGCATCAAAGCATTTGAAACATCACTTCATATATCCTTGTATTTACCCTTATAAAGTCACGGTTAAATGATCATGTATTTCAGTCAGATAATTAAATTATAATATTTTCTACCTTCATCACTCATTTCAATATCAAGATTATGTAATCAGTGAGAAACTTGTTAAAATCATTCAAGTGCTCATAGCCGTACTTTCTTTGTACTAGAAATGAAAAAAAAAACTTCTTTAGATGTAGTCGCTTGTCTATACTTGTTATTATTTTCTAGTCATCTAATTTCTTCTAGAACTTAGTGCAAAAGCTTCATTCATAAAAAAATACTGAAAGCCCTTAGCCCATAAACGAATTGTGCAACAAACTTGCCATTCATGAAATACCACTCTTTAATTCATCATGTGCTTAGCCATAAACTCCAAGCAATATGAGATCCACCTCTAAATAAAATTTCTAGGACTTCGTATTGCCACATGCCAACAATATTGGTAATGTCATTAAATTTCTCCACTTTAAACTTTGCATCGAATAACATGACTCTCTACATGAAACTTCTTGTGGACATGTTACTATCTATTTTAGATTGCCTTTTATGCTCATCTTGCTAGTTAGGAACCTTTTTGGACATAAGGAACCAACTTTTGGTGTCTAGGTGAAAATGAATTTAGTGGACCCACAGGTTAGTTTGACAGCCTCCTCCTTCTTCTTCTCCTTATTCTTTTGAGTTGAATAAAGCTTCAACTTATTAAGCTCACATTGATTAGACTTCGACTGTCTCTTAACAACATGGCCTCTTGGTGTGATTATAAGTTAATTTTGACATCTTCGAATCTTGGAAGGTTGAGGAAACTTGGCTCTGATATATTTGTCAAGCAAAAGCTCCAAGATTCAAAAATGGAAAACAACATACACATAAGAACACAAGAGTTTAACATTATTTGACAACTTTTCGGCATCTATGGGAGGCAACAAACTCACTATAAACTTGGAGAAAAATCAAGATCCAGAACTAATCTTAGAGTGCTCACATATATGCAAAAGCTATTACAAGCATATGGAGTTACTTGTGGAATGATTTGTAAGTGAGAATTGCATGAGTTTATATAGGAAAAAGTTTATTTTATAATATTAACGGTCGACTACATCAAAGATTTTTATAGTCTACATTGTAAACTTATGGTGGCCTCTATTTAGTATTTTATGGCAATCTCCATTTAACACATTTGTAGTATTGAAATAAGCCACTATTTTCAATAGTGACAAAGATGTAGTCATCAATTGAGTAAACCTAAATAAATTTCTTTCTGTTTTATTTGTTTTTGTGATTTCAATTAGGACTTGCCTAATTCCTAACATATTTCTATTCAGCAAATGAATGCTGTGAAAGGTTGGCATACTATGGAATGAGCAGCAATATTGTGAACTTCATGAAGGATAGACTCAACCAAGCAAACGCTGTAGCAGTCAACAATGTCACTAACTGGTCTGGAACCTGCTATGCCACACCTCTTTTGGGTGCATTTTTAGCTGATGCATACTTTGGAAGATACTGCACAATTGCCACTTTCATGATAATTTACATTATTGTAAGTCCCTTACAATAGACTTTGGTTCTCAGTTTTATATATTCAACAATATATCTCAAGAAAATGAAATGCTTGTTCTGATCACTTACAGGGTCTAGTACTGCTTACAATGGCTGCATCAGTGAAAGGACTAGAACCTGTTTGCCATAATGGAGTCTGCAACCCTACATCAGCACAATCTACAGTTGTATTTGTAGCATTGTACCTCATTGCCCTTGGAACTGGAGGAATTAAGCCATGTGTCTCTTCATTTGGTGCTGACCAGTTTGACGATTCAGATGAATCAGAGAAGAAGAGCAAGACCTCTTTCTTTAATTGGTTCTACTTTTCGATCAATATCGGCGCCATGATTGCAGCATCGGTCCTGGTTTGGATACAGACCAAATTAGGGTGGGGCTTGGGTTTTGGCATTCCCGCAGTAGCAATGGCCATTGCCGTTGTGAGCTTCTTCTTGGGCACACCATTATATAGGCATCAAAAACCTGGAGGCAGTCCATTCACAAGAATAGCTCAGGTTTTTGTTGCTTCGTTAAGGAAATCTGGAGAGAAAGTACCTGATGACAAATCTCTATTATATGAAGTGTCAGACAAAGAATCTGCCATAGAAGGAAGCCGCAAGCTAGAGCACACTGAGCAATTCAAGTAAGTTCAATGTAAAACTAAAAGATCTTCACTCAGCACTGTCCATAAATGAAAATTAATATGTAAGAAAAGCAAATTAATTAACTTCGTTTTCTTCTTGAAGTTTGATTGATGATCATTCCGGGGTTGTCTTAACCTTAAATGCCTAAGGTAAAACAATATGAACGGTTACACGAAGTGTGATGATAATAACATTATTCTAAATATTCTACTATGAATAGAACTCTCAGCATATAGTATACTTAAATCTAAAAAGTTTTTTTTAGTTTTGTTAATATGAAAAATATGGGAAGAGCTGTTTTACGATCTATACATGAATCGATATCAATATGACAATAAAACGAGCTTGAAACATGATAACCTACACGCTTGATTTAAGTTCAAGTAGCGTATGTTGCTATTTGCAATCCGACAAATGAAAATGATATATCCGTCCAGGTTCTTTGATAAAGCAGCTGTGCAAACTCAATATGACAATATAGATAGCACTGTTAATTCATGGAAGCTCTGCACTGTCACTCAAGTAGAGGAACTGAAGAGCCTTGTACGTCTTCTCCCTATCTGGGCAAGCGGCATCATCTTCTCAACTGTGTATGGCCAGATGAGCACTATGTTTGTCCTTCAAGGAGACACCATGGACCCCCATATAGGTCCCAACTTTAAAATCCCTGCAGCTTCCCTGTCCGTCTTTGACACCATTAGTGTTATCATTTGGGTACCAATCTACGACCGCGTCATCGTCCCAGTTGCTCGAAGAATCACAGGAAACGAGCGTGGCTTCACACAGCTCACGCGCATGGGCATTGGCCTCATCATTTCCATCTTTTCCATGGTGGCTGCAGGCATTTTGGAGGTCATCAGGCTTCAAATGGTAGCAAGACTCAATCTTTATGATCACGAAGGCTACTTGCCGATGACAATATTCTGGCAGGTGCCTCAGTACTTTCTCGTTGGTGCGGCTGAGGTCTTTACATTCATTGGTCAATTAGAATTCTTCTACGATCAGGCACCAGATGCAATGAGGAGCTTGTGCTCTGCGCTCTCACTGACCACCGTCGCATTGGGAAACTACCTCAGCACATTTCTGGTGACCGTTGTCACTAATATCACAACAAGAAATGGGCAGCTTGGATGGATAGCAGATAATCTCAACAGAGGTCACCTGGATTACTTCTACTGGCTCCTGGCCATTCTTAGCCTTGTGAACTTTCTGGTGTATCTTCTGATTGCAAAATGGTACACCTACAAGAAAGCAACGGATTTTTGATAGTCTCGTCAGCGTAAGAGAGACTTGGTGCTTCGTTTTTACATTTATTTCTGACTACTGCAATCTACGAACCTTTCTAATTTATTCGGGTTGGATGGCTTGAATGGCTTGTGAAGCTGTTGTGAAAAATTAAGTTTGCTATTGGATTTCTACTTTCTGCTTGGCCAAAATATGCTTTCAACACATCTCACGCAGCATATATTATATATAGAAAGGAGATGGTGAGAAAAAAAACTGAGGCAAGGTCACATCTTTTCATGAAAGATAGTGTTGAAAATGCTTGTCCTCAAATGACTTAAAGATCATGGCTTTAAAGATCGGATCAAACCAAACATTTTTAGACCAATCATATAACCGATCCGATCCATCTTCAAAATAATCATTACATCATATAAAAAAATTATATAAATAATACTAAGAGTGAACTAAATCTTATAAATTTATATATGAACTAAATTTAAATATTGAAGATGCTTAAATTTAAAATTAAAAAAGATATTATTTATATATAAATTTTATTTAATTTTTAATATCAAATTTATATTATTATATAATTAATATTACTATTATATCATTTAAATATTTATTACAACATTTGATTTAGCCCCGATTGAATCATTGAACTATATCCAATCCAATTTTCACAATATTGATATAGAGCATTTCCACTATCTTCTAAAAGGAGCTCAAGATTTCAAATCTAAATAAAATAATAAAATCAAATCAAATGACAAACTTTCCTTTTAAGAAGGCAATCGAAGCCATAGCAAAATGCTACAAAATTTTCTTACTGGGACTCCAACCATCTCAAAATGGCCTTCAGGAAATTGCATCTTTATACTCCCAAATGTTTAGACAAACAAGTGGGCGTGCAGAATCATTTTTTTAAAACTTTTGAATAAGAATATTCTAAATCAAATTTAATCGAGTTGAGTTCTATAATTATTAAATTTATTTTTGTTGCGTCCTGGAATATTCACGGCGGTAGAAAAGTATATAATTTAACGTTTTAGCATTGTACGAAGATCCAGCACGCACACAGATAATAAAGAGGGTGCAGCATTCATAAGAGACAAAGAGTTTTTACGTGGAAACCCCTCAAAAAGGGGAAAACCCACGGGGCCTGGCCCAGTTTGAAATAATCCACTAGCATTTGCAGTTGATTACAAATGAGGACGTTCCTTGGGAGAAGGCCTTGGCTTGACGTTATAAATATACATCATATATAGCGCATCAACATAGACATATTTATTTGGTTGGCAGGACCATAATCGATATGACAGAGGTCAGAAAGACCGTAGTAGGCGATGGAAGTTGGAAGCATCGTAGTCGGTAGAAGATAGGGGTCAAAAAGACTGTTGCCTGGCGAGGGAGGTCAGAAGGATCATAGTTGGTAGAAGACCAGGGTCAGAAAGACCATAGTTAGTGAAGGAGGTTACCATAGTAGACAACATAGGTCGAAATGACCATAATCGGCAGGAGACTGGGGTAGGGGTGCAAACGAGTCGAGTCGAGCTCGAGCAAGGGAGTGTTCGAGTTGAGTTCAAAATCCGAGCTCAAGCTCGACTCGTCATCATATCGAGCGGCTCGTCGAGCTCGGTTGTCGAGCCCGTCGTAACATCCGTCGTCTTGAGACCCGAGTTCCGCCTTCCTCATCGCATCCGTCGTCATCGAGCTCGTCAGTCGTCATCGAGCTCGTCTGTCTGCCGTCGAGATTCGTCTCCCGAAGTCGTAGCATCCGCCGTCGAAACCGACGTCTCGAGCTCGTCCGCCATCAAGAACCGCCGTCAAAAACTGACGTCCCGAGCTCGTCCGGCATCGCGTCCGTCGTCATCGAGCTCGCAGTCGCACCGCCCGTCGTCGAAAACTGACGTGACGTTAGAACCAACATTCTGAGATCCGTGGTGACGCCCCGAGCTCGTCTGCCATCGCGTCCGTCGTCATCGAGCTCGCAGCCGCGCCGCTCGTCATCCTGAGCTTGTCCGCCGTCCAGAACCAACGTTCCGAGATCCGACGAGCTCTTGACGAGCTATGTCGTCGATATCCATTGCCCTGAGCTCGCAGTCGCGTACACCCGTCGTCCTGAGCTCGTCCGCCGTTGATCCAGGCGTGCACTATCGTTGTTTCGATTTCCTTCAGCGATATTTGAATTTTCCGCGTGCGAGCTCGACTCGATTAGCTGTCGAGCTCGAACTCGTGTTTGAGCTCGACTCGCTAGCTCGATAAGCTCGACTCGTCGAGCCTGTTATCGAGTCGAGTCCGAGCCGGCTCGCGAGTCAGCTTGACTCGATGTCACCCAAAAGCATAAGCTTTGGACTTAAAATAGGTTTGAGCACTAGTGCATCTAGCCAAACTTTGATTCACTTTTATTAACTCTATCTAACACCAACACCCATAAAATAAAAAGAGATAAGAGCCTAAGAAAAGTTAAGCACTTCCCCTAAGCCATCCTATGATCCTTACATGTCTATGAAAAAAAACCTAATATCAAAGATATAAACATACAAGATCAAATTTCACAATACTATAATTTTTTAATAGAAAAAGGCAAGTAATCAGGTGAGCTATCAAAACTACATGGGTGGTCCAAATGGAGGCTCCCTTAAATGTAGGGAATAATTCTCTCTTGGCCCCCCCCCCCCCCTCCCCCCTCTTTCAAGAGGAAATGGAGTTCTATTTATAGAATTCTTGAGTGTCATGGCTTGTAAATAAGTGGAAGATCAAGGGTAAATTCGGAGTGGTTCGAATAGACGGCTGATCTTGATTCATACGATCATGTACCGTTCAATGGACATTTGACTGTCTTAATGATATCAGAATTTGATGATCTTGGGCTTGTTGGATTCGTCTCGTCAAGCCACCCGATTCGACTATAAGCATGTCATGATTGAAGACCATTTGATAACCCAAATTGTGGTTTGATCCTTCCAAAAGCACTTCGAGTCTTTGATTTGGACTCATTTGGGCTCGGATTGGGTCGATTTTGGTGTCATTGGGTTTGTGTTTCCGAGATGCTTAGTTCGATTATAAGTTTGTTAAAATCGGAATTCAAACGGTCTCCGGTTTAATTTTTGAAGTTTCCAACTTGATTTTGCCTCGAGATTCGTGCTCGATCAAGGTGATTTTTTATGATGTATCAGTTGCCCCCTATTTTTGGACGTCAAATCTTGTAAAGTTCAAAAATACATATAAGAACCTTTAAAACAAAATTATAAATTCAAATATAGCATATATAAATATATATATGAAAGATTTAAGTGCAAGAATTTTATGTCATACTTGAATTCTTATTTAAAAATTAATAATTAATTGGCTCAAATTTTTATCTTTTAATTAAAAAGAATTTTTTATGTTTTAAGAATATAGATATTGAATATCAGAGATAAAATTACTCAAAAAAATGTTTCATAATTTTAAGATTCAATCAAAGTAATTGAAAACAATGATTTTATGATTTTAATAGTTATTATTTTATGAAGCTCACATAATTAACGTGAAGACTAACAAGAAGTATTTTCTATGATGCACCGACACTTCTACTCAAAGAGGCGTGCAGTGTCTGACACCGTGTCTGACACGACACTCGTCCGACACTCCTCCGACACGTGTCGGACATGCCGAAAACGTGTCCGATTAAAAAAATATTAAAAACAAATTGGACACGCATGTCCGACACGCGTATCTTAAATATTTTATAATTTTTTAAAATATAATTTCTTATATTTTGCGAGATTTAAACTAAATTTATTATTTCATATTCACAACACCAAATCAACGTCTGCATTTAATACCCATTCATCGAATATTCTCATTTTCATTTCTCTTTGGCAGTGAAGGTATTTTCATCTCCTCTCTTTTTGCACAATTACAAATCTTTCTCTTGTTGAACCAGAGTTGAAAATAGTGATATTCAATGATGATGATATTGAAGGCCAAAAACAAACCTCTAAAGCTAATCCTAGTAGTTCAAGCTTGAATGCTTGATGTTGTAGTAAGTGATTATTTGCTTATATTTTTGTGGTTATAATAGATATTTTGTACTAAATATTTTATATTATAAGCTAGACAAGTTATCTGATGCGATCCACCTTCCGCCAGCTGAGGGAGGGCGGGCGACCCCGCGGCGCGCCCGTTCGATCCGCTGAAGCAGGTACGCGGAGCGGGACGGGGGCCATTCGGCTTGAGCGGAACCGGTCCATTTCTGGACCGGTTTGGCTCAGGTCTAGCCTGAGCTCAGGCGGTTCATTTTGGGCAGCCCACTAGTGGATTTTGTTGGTCTTTTGGCTTGCTATAAGTAAGGAATAGAGGGAGATTTCTAGGGCATGCATGATTTGAGTTTTCTCTTAGCCTCCTTAGTTTCTTTACCTTGTTTTTCTAGGGTTTGTAGTGGGAGACCTTGTCCTTCTCGAAGTGGACAAATTGTATCTTGTTTCTCTTGGATTTTGAATGCAAAATTTCTTGTTCTTCCTCTCATCCCTCTTGTGTTGATTTTTTTCTTGGATTTGGAGGAGAAATTTCATCTTTGGAAGAGCATTAGGGCAAACCCTAATTTGTGAAACCTAAGGCATATCATTATCATATCATTCATTTATTATTGTTTGCCATTTTTAATATGATATTACATTAATATATATACATATATAAAAAAATGATACGCCTTTGCGGCGGTAGATAAATATATAATTTAACGTCTTAGCATTGTACGAAGATCCAGCACGCACGCAGATAATAAAGAGAGTGCATCATTCATAAGAGATAGAGTTTTTACATGAAAACTCCTAAAAAATGGGAAAAACGACGGGGTCTGGCCCAGTTTGAAATAATCCACTAGTATTTGTAGTTGATTACAAATGAGGCCATTCCTTGGGAGAAGGCCTTAGCTTGATGTTATAAATATACATCATATATATCGCATCAACATAGACATATTCATTTGGTTGGCAGGACCATAGTGATATGACAGATGTCAGAAAGATTATAGTTGGCAAGGGAGGTTACCATAGTAGGCAACAGAGGTCGGAAGGACCGTAGTCGGCAGGAGACTGGGGTCAAAAAGACCGTAGTAGTAGGACGGTACTCCGGCAGAACTCCGAGCATCAGGTGGTGGTCCGACATAAGTCCGAGCCTCAGGTGTTGGTTCGACAGCACTCCGGTGTCAGGCGGTGGTTTGTTAGTGCCACTTTAGCATTAGGGGGCACTCCGCCTTCGGGGTGGCACTTCGACGTCTTTGGATGGTCTGGTGGTGGTTCGACAGAACCTGGACGTGGTGCGGCAGAACTCCGACGATGGTGCGGCAGAACTTCGGTGGTGGTCGAGGAGGAGCTAGGCGGGTGGAGCCTTATTCCTTCTCTTCCTTATTCTCTCTTGACTCTTCCCCCCGCCCCCCCCCCCCCCCTCTCAAGAGGAAATGTGGTTCTATTTATAGTATTCTTGAGTGGCATGGCTTGTAAATAAGTGTAAGATCAAGGGTAAATTGGGAGTGGTTCGAATGGACGGCTGATCTTGATTCATACGATCATGTACCGTTCAATGGATCTTTGACTGTCTTAATGATATCAGAATTTGATGATCTTGGGCTTGCTGGATTTGTCTCGTCGAGCCGCTCGATTCGACTATAAGCATGTCATGATTGAAGACCGTTTGGTAACCCAATTTGTGGTTTGATCCTTTTAAAAGCACTTCGAGTCTTTGATTTGGACTCATTTGGGCTTGGATTGGGTCGATTTTGGTGTCATTGGGTTTGTGTTTCTGAGATGCTCAGTTCGACTATAAGTTTGCGGAAATCGGAATTCAAATGATCTCCGATTTAATTTTTGAAGTTTTCAACTTGATTTGTCTCGAGATTCGTGCTAAATCAAGGTGATTTTTTTATGATGCATCAAATTTGATATTCCATCTCGCAGAATATATCAATTTGGTAACTATCTCTTCACAATGGGCAAAAAAGTCAATGTGACAGGCAAAGACGACAAACTTCATTATTAACACACAAGATATTTTACATAGACAACCTCCTTTTTGGATAATGTTAACAACTTCGAAAAATAAGTGGTGCCGATAAAGTAGGGTGAGAAACGTACCAGAGACTTTCTTGATCAGCTTGGTGGGTCGAGAGATGAACACCCTCAAAGCCATTCAATACTGCTTCCCACTTACAAAGCCAACTCATACTCAACCATGCAAATCCAACAATAGGCGCAGATCAAACATCTGCTTCTCTAATTCTGATGGCTCCGACTCCAGCACTTCCATTCCAGACGGAGACAAGCGAAAGCAAGACTTGCTCGCACAGATTGCAATGCTCCAGACACAGAAAGTTCGGCTCACAAACTTCCTAGATGAGCGTTCATCGAATCTGGCACAGTTTGCAGAAGATGCCAATGCTGAGTTTGATGCTATTGGAGAGAACGCACTCAAAGAGCTTGATGATGCCGGCACCAGGGTACGTCAATAACTTAGTATGCCCTACACCCATACATAGGAGAAGCCTAGCTAAGTTTTTGCACATGTTTCTGGCTTTTGATAAAACAGATAATGGAGAAGCTGGAGAGCCGGCTTGAGGCTTTTGAGGAAACAGCGGAGATGAATAGGCAGGAGATAGAAAGTAACGAGAAAATTTTGGAGGAGTTTCAGGAACAGATTGTTAGGGACAAAAATGAAGGCCTCTTCTTTAAGAACCTGAGGGAGAACACACCTCCGAAGAAAGCTGAGGCTAAGGAGGAGGCACAGAAGTTTAGACAGCTAGCAAAGAAGACTGACAGATCAAGGACACGGAGAAATATTTACCTTGCACTAATTTTATTGCTTATTCTTGCAGTTGGTAATGCTGTTTTTGCTAGCCCGGAGGTTGAGTGGCGGAAAGTTGGGGCATTGTTGTTGATATTGTTTGGTTTACTTGCTCAGTTCATCTATGAGCAGAGTATGTCAGGTACAACAGATGAAACAAACAAGGAAAAATGAAGTAGTCCGAGATAAAGAATCAAAATGTGCATGTGTGAGGGTTTGTAAGTGTTTTGATAGTAAAATACTGATAACTGTATGGTTAATGATATTGGCAAAATTTGTAGATTTTAATATAAATGTAGCATGCTAAAGAACAGTGTGACAGTGCACTCTCAAACCAGTAGCTTGTTAGAAAACAACAAACCTTTTTCCTTTTTTTTAAAAAAAAAATTCAGTCAAGAACAAACATTTCCATTGATACCTTCAGGTATAGAATGATCATTCTGCTGTGCATTTCCAGCCTTCTTACACGGAATCACAGCATGCCAATTAATGCAGGCAAAGCAAACAATCAGGATTTTTTTTTGGAAACAAGCAATCAAGCAATTAGAATGCAAATTCCATGTTAAGTGACAGACAACATGCAGTAAGCGAAGAGAATTTTTAACCTTGAAAGGAAACATCGCTGAAGCATGTTTAGACAACTCCGCTGCTCAATACTGCCCTAACTAGTATGTTCCAAGTAATGGAAGTTGGGACAATGCCACAGTACACAGCATCATCCAAAACCTTGAGTGCCTCCATCGTCTGTTTATGCAAACAAAGCCCTTTAAACACTATATTGTAAGATATGATATCTGGTTGCAACCCAGCCTCAAAAATCTCATTCCACAAATCAGTTGCCTTTTTGCAGTCGCCAACTTCATAAAGTCCATCCATAATAGTGTTTAATGTCACGAGATTTGGAGAGCAGTTCTTATGTTTCATCTCTGAACAGAGATGCAAAGCTTTTTCCACCTTTCCCGTGCTGCAGAGGCCGCGGATGAGAACATTGTGCAGGACAACATCAGCTTCAAATCCCATGGAAAAAACTTGGTTCCAAATTTCAAGAGCAAGGTTAATTTTTTTATCCCGGCAGAGACCATCGATTAAAGCACTGTAAGTTATCATGTCAGGCTTGAATCCTTTGTCCACCATTTCTTTCGCAAAACTTGAAGCTTCTTGGAACCTTTCAACCTTACAAAATCCAGAAATTAGTATGTTATATGTGACCATAGTAGGGGAGCAGCCAGTGCAAATCATCTCCCTGAAAATCTGAATAGCATGTTTCATCTTAGATGCTTGGCAGAAGCCATTAATCAGCGTGTTATAAATATGAGCATTAGGATGACAACCTTGTCTAGCCATCCGATCAAAAAGGCTAACTGCTTCATCTAATCTATCATTCTTGCACAAACCATTAATCATAGAGGAATATGAATAAACATCTAATTTGTTCTCTCCATTCTCCTCGGCCACATTCAGGGCCTGTAGAGCCTTGCCAATGTAACCACTCTGACATAATCCATGAATGACAACGCCATAAGTCACCTGATCGGGCTGGAATTCATTGCTTACTTTCAAATGCTCCCAAACTGAAATTGCTTTGTTTACCTCACCATTTTCAAACAGGGCTTTGATAAAAATGTTATAGCTCACAAAATCAAGATTCCTTGTCCGCACCATTGATGCCCACAGGCTTAAAGAATCATCAATCCTCCCAGCTTTGCATAAACCATTGAGCAGAGAATTCGAGGTAACAACATCAAGATGAAACCCATTCTTGATCATCTCCACATAAAATTGTAAACCTCCATCCACATTCCCCATCTCACACATCCCATGGATCAAAATACCGTAAGTAAAAGAATCCAGCCGGTGGCCATTGCTCACCATGCGATCCAACATGTCCATAACCTCATCAAACTTGTGAAGCTTGCACAAGCCATTCAATATAGCATTGTAAGTGGCAACATTGGGAGTAACCGAGCTATCCCTCAGCAGCCTCTCCCACATCTCCATCCCTTTTACAAGATCTCCATTCTTCAAAAACCCATCAATCATAACATTGTAGCAAACCACGTGAGGATCCACCTTCGTGTCACGCATTTCATCAAACAAATTGAGTGCACCATCCAAGTTCCCAGTTTGAAGCAACCCTGCCATCAAAGTACTGTAAGTGATTCGATTGGGCTCCAGCCCGGCCTCTAGACGAATAGTTTCTCTCAGCTGCAGAGCTCGATCGATCTGCCTTCGAGCGCAGAGGCCTCTAATAAGGATGTTGTAGGTCTCAATGTTGGGGGAGGCACGGGCTTGGTGATAAAAGAAATGGAAAAAAGTTTCGACTTTGTCCCAGCTGTGAGAACGGACGAAGGCGTCGAGTAGAGCGTTGTGCGAGCGGACGCCAGGGCGGCAGCCGAAGACGAAGGATAGGGATTTAAAGGCGCAAAGGGCCTCCTCTGGCATATTAGCGCGGGAGAAGGCTTTGAGGACGACGAGTGCGGCGCCTTCGGAGAAGCGGTGGCGATGAGGGAGGGAAGAGAGGATGCGGAGGAGACGGGGAAGGAGGGTTGGGGTGGCCGAGGAAACGCGGCGAAGGAGAAGAAAGAGGAGGGAAGGTGGTGGGGAGTAAGAAGGGTGCGAAGAAGAAAGAGTTTCAAGGTGAGATAGTGCGGTGGCCGGATTCTTTTCGCTGGATATGAGGTTGAGCAGAGGATGGATGCGAGGAAGTTCGCCAGTCATACCAATCACGAGAGTCGTGGGATCGAGAAGACTGAAACTTTAAATTTGGTGGAAATTCAGCAAATGGCGTGCTAACGGAACTCGTTACTATGTATCAGGCTCCAACCGCTACTTCGTGTAATGGTGTAAAAAATGGAAAATATAAATATTTATATTAATTATTAATTGTTGCATTTCTTCAACTTCATTCTCAGTAATAGTTATTGCTGAGCTATGCGGACTAAAATATTTGCGCGTCTTACCATTGCTGGAGAATCTAGCTCACAAATAGAGGGAATAGAAATATCATAGTTTTAACGTGAAAAATTTTAAATGAAAAAATCATGTGATTATATCCAGTTAAAATGAATCCACTAATATTTGAATATATTACAAATGATTGATTCACTCTTAAATTTGAGGAGGATCATATTACAATATTCAACTGTCAAGTTAAAATCTAGCGACGAACGGGGATCAGACGGAAGTCTGGCAAAAGTCCGATGACGGTCCGTGGCCATGCGGAAGTCCAACAATGGTCGGTAGTCGGACGGTGGTTGAGGAGTCTGCTGACAAGATAATTCTGATTTTTCTTCTTTTCGTTTCTTTCTTGTTTGGTCCCATATCAATGAAGAATGATGGGTCAATTAAGTAATACCAAAATAATTTTGATTTGGCTACTGTTTCTGGATAGCTGAATGCTCTAAATCTGTTTTAAAATAACAGACTTAAATGTTAATATGTTTATTTTGGTATTACTTAGTCCAAATTTATAAGCATGTATATTAGGGTTTTAAAATAAATATTAATTAAATAAATTTCTCAGGCTAATCATAATGTATAATACTTATATGACACAAACTGATCTGCTCAATATTGTCTACTTAGAGAATTGAATTGTACTATCAATATAATGTTTGTCTGAACAATGTCAAAATAATGTTTGTCTGAACAAAAAAAGTTTGTTAAGACTATACAATTAGGATCATACAGTTCAAAATTTTCTCTGATTCGACTCATTTATTTCAAGTTCTAAAAAATACAAATATTAATACGAGAAATAAAGTTTTGTACAATATGAATTGGTTCTTTCAGTATTATTCTTTTATATTTTAAATTTACATATTTTTTAAAATATCAGAAATTGACAATTTTAATTTGAAATAACTAATCGTCCTGTATGATGAGTTATAGAAATAATGAATTACGAATTTATGTTAATTATCTATTTTATTATTATAAATTATCAAAATATCATTCATATCAGACAACACGAATGATCAATTAATACTTCCTTGTATTGAATACAATTGTAGGTTTATTGTGATGTTGAGCTATATGCTCACTTTACATGTTTACCTATTTTAATGAAGGATAGCGAAGGATGCTGAGAGAATTGTTGCTACGGTTGTACTTCTTTTATGTGATACATATATTTTTTTGTAATCATGATGGAATTATATTTTGATGATTTGATGATGAATCATGATTATTGTACATTTTTTTTACAAGTAGATATAATGTTTATATGTTTTGGATAATAAAATATTATATTAATTTGTATATTGATGAATTTAGTACGTAGTTACGTGTGTAAATTTAATGGTAAAAGAAATCATTTCTAATAAAAGATTATGGATAAATGAACGGCATCTGATATAACTCATTAGAATGTATGGGTATATCAAGTAGGGTTGTGACAACTAATATTATACAAATTCCTTCGACTATATAATTATCTCTGATTTAATATTAACCTAAACAAAGTTCAAAAAATTTGGCCATAAATTGAACCATAAGAAAAAATGTTTAAGGTACAAAACTCAAATGTTAAATCATAATTTATTTGAGGGTTTCACTAAGATGATATACTAATTATTAAATAAATTTAAGTATTAATTAAATAACATAGCAAAGAATTAAATATGTGAAAAAAGTAAAGAAAACTAATTTATGAAATGTAGAAAATATGTATGAAATATATATATTGTATATCATACATATTTTCTAATTGTAAATTAAAACAACTTCTATGTTAAGTGACTAACCTCTTATTTTATTGTCCTGATTAAATTTGAATAAATTGGGTCAATGATGAATGATTGAAAGTAGGAAAGATTGTAAATTTAAGGGGCTAGGACTTCTTTTTTTCATTGATTTTTTAAATTGATTTATAATAAGATTATTTTTTCATTTAATTAAAAATGAATGATGATAATTTTAATTATTAAAAGAACTTGGTAGCTCAACCAAATTGTAACTAGTTCATGATTCATCCCATTTCCCTTTGATTCTTAATAGAAATAATTTTAGTAGTAAACTAAGTTGATTCATAGTCGAACAATCAGTGTTCAATTTAGTTCAATTTTCTAACAATTGGAGTAGAGTGTATGGAAATACATCTTATTTACAAATTTTAAGAGGGTGTTTTGGCCTCTTTTAACAAAATATAGTTAGCAACACATGAATGAAATGATCTAAATCAATTCAACTCTCAACTCAAAAGTGACCACATGATTAATTATACCATTGGGCTAGCCTTAATGTGTTTGTCTTGAATAGGGTTAGCCTAAATGGCCGATCATAGGCCAAGAATTTAGTTTTGGTTGTGAATGTTACAAGTTAAGTATTTGATTGATAACAAGGGGTATATTTTGAAACTATTCATGCCGTAGATTTCATAACCTGATGATCCAAGTTTTTATGCTTGAGTTGTCTAACATAATTATGAGAAGAAATTGGGATCAATTTTAACATTACTAAGATGATGTTGGTATTAAAATGCTCATTTTCTTACAATATCTAATTGATACTATAGATAACTTATAAATAGAAGCATGCAAAGCTTCAAGTAAAAAAAATATTGCAAAAAACGATATAATTATAAAATCTTATAATTCTCATAAAAGCCCTTCTTATGCTTGTAAAATTCCTTCCATTTATTGGAATACCCTTTATTGATATTTGGAATATATCATCGTAGGAATATTCTCCCAACCTGAGGGACTACCTTTCATTCATAATAGGGCCCTCTTTACCTCGAAATGATCCATCTTGATCTTGAGGAACCTTTAATAGATTCACTTATTACTTTATATAATGATTCCAAGGAGATAATTAGCACATGAGTGTCAACATGCAATGTCACCACTAAGGCTTTGTTTGGGACTGCATTCTAATTACTGCTTCTTTAAGTAGTTTTTTAGTACAAAAAATTTAATTTTTGTACTAAAAAGCTACTTTAAGAAGCAATAAGAAAGCCTTCTCAAATGAATCATAAGTCTCTTTGATTGAAGCATGTGCTACTACATTTAAGGCGCCTCATAACTACTATATGATGCTTGAAATCACAGTTATAAGTAATCATTGCATTTGTGCATTAATGATATATATTTTGGAGACATAACAACTTGTTAACCCAAGCACACATGAACAAATGAAAAAAATCTCACAACTTCCACACAATGAATATGATATACGGATCGAAGTAACCATAATGCTGACCAACACTGACGATAGTATCAAACTTAAGAATATATATAGAAGGATCTTGATTAAGTGGGTTGGACATTGAATGAGCTATAGTTTATTGAAAACACAACCACCATGGGACAATGAGCATTAGTCCTTTCTACTTAGATCTCTCATTTCCACTTTTATTATCTCCTCACTTCTATCTTAAGATGGTGATCAACCATGTTAATTGATTGTAATTCAAAGCTCTGGCTTTGCATTACCTTAGTCAACTTATGCCAAGACGACAAAATAAGTAAAAAATACTATGCCTTCTTTGTTTCCTGCCATTTTAACATTTATTTTATATGCTCTCTCTCTCTCTCTCTCTCTTGTCTGGTCATGATTGAGTAACTATGGTCATACCAAGTTCTTGATGATTTTCTTGAACCTTGATGGAACTCTCTTCTTGCCATCTTGAGACAACCCATTTTTCACCGACAATAGGTTTTCTTATGTTCAACATGAGTCACACATACGGATGATTAGCTTGCTTGGGCAAATTCGATTAAAATGTCTTTGGATGTTTGAATTATTTGTTCTCAATGTCATTTGAATTTTCATGTTGAGATATTACTTGATATGGCTTTTTTTTAATATCCCAAAGTACCTTGAAATTCACGCATTATGTTGAAAATTATGCTTGGTAACTTAAAGATTTTTTTTTTAATGATTGCAGCATAAATTATTACTAATAATACATTTTTTCCTTTCTTTTAGTAATCACGTAAGATTGAAATTAAAAATATTTTATATGCTTAAATATAATAAATGAACTAAAGAGCTATTGATAGTGAAAAATAGATGTATGTTACTTAATAAGTATTGACAAAATATAAAAATAGAGAGTTATCTATCTAACAATAAAATTTCAACTATTTACATATCAAACTCCTAACCCACCATATTTATCAAAAAATCACTTTATTCTTCTTAACATAACAGAGTTCCATTCTGATAACTTCCATTTGAAACAACAACATCCATCATTTTCTTCTCCTATGATCTCAACAACATAATGATGAACTTACATAGGAGCTTATGGTAGTTGAGTTGGGGGAAGCTCATGAAGGAGGTTGCTATGGTAGAGGATGACACTAATGGGGAGATGAGGAAGTTAAAGATGGACAATAATAGGGAGGAGGGCTAGTGAATACAACAATGGAAGTATTAGGATGAAGTGATGAATGACAAGTATGTGAATGCTTTCAAGAGCGATTGTGAGCTTGTTGAGGATGAGGATAGCTAGGTCATGAAGAAAGTTAATGCAACACACTCCAATTCATCATCATTTTTTATTGAATGTGAGTTTAATAAAAAAAAAGAGAGAGGATGCATAACAATGAATTAAAATGGATAGTTTTGATATACCTAAAAAAATTTTGATGGTGCATGAGTAAAGAACATTTTTTAGAGATTAATATATAAATATTAGATATTTTAATAGCATGAATGTAAATCACATTAAAAATTAGACAATTGATTTCTCTATTTCTTTATTTATTATCTCACAAGAATTTCTTTGTTTGATGGAGACATAGAGTTATTATTTTTTATAATAATAATAATATATACACACACAATGGGAAACCGTATTAGTTTCATTAATGATCCTAAATTCGTAATCATGTAAGGTTAAGCTAGGGTTTCCATTTTCCATAGACTCCTTTTGTACTCCTACTTCCCGCGGCAAATTTCTCTATCTTCTTCTCTCCCTGTCTCGATTGATTCCTGTTCCTTTGACTAGCGTCTTCGCGTTTCTCTCGCATTCCACTCTCCACTGAGCCCGCGCGCGCGCGCGCAAATTAACCAAAGTCAAACCCCTAAACCGTTAAACCCAAGCCCGCCTGCCTCCATCGCCTTCTCCCTCCACTGCTCTCTCTCTCTTTCTCGCATGGCGGAGCTCTCTCACTACGGCGACGGCCGTATGCTCGATTCCCTCATGCTTACCTGCTCCTCCGTCGCCTCCGCCGAGGCGGAACTCCGAAGCCTCTTCTACCAACTCTCATCACACAGTGGCTTACCGACAGAGCTCTTGTTAGGGCCCGAAGCCGTGCGACCCGACCACTCCGAACTCTTTGCCTGCTGGGTCCAGCGGCTACATGCCCAAGTTGCTGCCGATGGTGAAAAGAGAGGAGACGGAGAGGAGCGTATAGATGCGCTCGATCGATGGCTCCCCTTCTGCCCGGATCTGAGGCGTAGGATCAAAAAGCTCGTCAGCATACTGGTTGCAGCGCGGAGCTGCAGTTCGGAGAAGCCTGATAACTTAGTTTTTAAGCGGAGAAGCGATTCCTTGTGGAATGTGCTATTGATGCTGAAGAACGTGGCTGCGGATCCTTGCGATAAAGCGGGACTAAATCAGGAATTGAAGGATCAGATACTTCGTGTACGGAAGGTTCTATTCTTGAGGGCGGAGGAGATTTCCATTTCTGACATGGAAGAGTTTCCTTATCGTTCGGTAATTTCTTAGAGAAAATCTTTCGTGTCGCCACAATTTTAGAATTTGTTTAGTTATGGCCGCTGGATTACATAGCTAGCCAGCTAATTAGATTGTGATTCCTAGCATGCTAGTTAAACATTTGCGCGTCCTGCAAGGCTATTAATACTGTTATTTGTTAATTAACTTAACGTGCTTTTGGTTCATGCATAGTTCATGCGTGTGTGTGTATATATTAATTACTTTAAAAAACTTTTCATCTTTTGAAATTTATCATGTCTATTATATAATGAAACAAAAAATTAGTTATTTGACAACTTGGCATTAAATTTTTTAATACTCTGTTCTATTGCATACATTGGTAAAAAAATGTAAAAGCTAAAGCTAACACCTCATACAAGACTCAAATATGAAAGCACACATATCTATTTACCCGAATGAATTAAAAATGACAATTCATCTAGTTGGAATCCAATTAATGATGATATATATATATATATATATATCATCATTAATTGGATTCCAACTAGATGAATTGTCATTTTTAATTCATTCGGGTAAATAGATATGTGTGCTTTCATATTTGAGTCTTGTATGAGGTGTTAGCTTTAGCTTTTACATTTAAATTGTGCTAAGGAGTTTACAGGTAATTTCCGTCCCTTTTGGTTGTAAAATGTAGTTTGTTGATAGATATAATTGTAAGCAAAGTTAAGGAAATCTCTAAAAATTCTATTAGTTCATATATATTTTTTCCATTGTCATAATCCATGTTAGCTAGTGTAGGATGATTGGCATCTCTATTTATGACTTACTAATTTAAAAGGAACACATGCGATATTGGCAACATAAGAAACATAAGAATGGAGTTCTTTAGACATTCAAAAGAGAGAGAAAGAGATGCAAATGCTTAAGCATCCACAAGGCATTGAATTCCCATTGAATTAGAACTTCAAATATTTTTTGCACTAATCGAATTACATATCCTAAATGTCAATTAAATAAACAATTAGTTATAAATAACAAATGAAACATTAGCCATCAACAACTAACTTTGTGACAACTGTGGACATACACTATAAAACATAACTTCAAATGTTTTTCATTCTTAATTGAATTTCATATCCTCAGGCATTATTTATAATAACAGGATTTATTCCAAATGACAAAATTAAATAAATAATTAGTTCTAAAAAACAAATGACACATTAGCCATCAACAACTAGCTTTATAGCAACTGTGGTCAGACACCATAAAGCATAATGCACAACATATACATCATAACACAAATTTAGTTAATGACTTTGTAATTGCCAATTAAGATTTAACATCTTATTTGCCCTTAAGGACATATGTTCATTAGCCATTACAAGATTAACTTTGTTCTATCAAATATGTAAGCTCTAACGTAAGTTTTGGAATTTATTCATTTAGTATTCCTACCCTCCACAGTGGATGATGTCCAAAATACAAGCAAAGAGAAAATCCAACACATGGAACACTACGCGAGTAATATTTGATCGCAATGAAGTTTTGATCAGCTCATAAAATTTAAAGGCAACTTTATATGGTAATTATATTTTTTCTGCTATATAATCCAGATGTTTGACAAAGACACAATTACTTAATGCAAAGTTACTGATTAAGATAGAACAATTATATTAGAGGTATGGAGGAAACAAACTCTATTGGAGATTGTATAATGAAATATAAATTTTGGTGGTTTGTACATGTACATTGAAGGGTAAAAAATGTACCTATAAGATGGGTAGATCAGATGTAATATTTACAGAAGATCTAAAAAATGTGCAAAAGAAACTAAACTTTATGCTACACAGAATAGTAATGAATGAAAAATAAGGGATGATGACTTGCATAAATTGCATTTCATTTATTCAAGTAAAAAAGTAATAATTATTGACTCTCATATATATGTTCATTATAGTTGATTCCAATATAGTTAACATAATAATCGCAACATATGGCTATGTAAGTGGAAGAGGAAAGAAGTATCGAGATGAAAAGAAGCTCCTGAGTTGCCGGTTGGGCATGAAGGTAAAATGTTATGCTTATATTTGGAAATAAAGATAATTAATTACTATTTTTTTCAATAAAACAAAGATGGAAAATCCAATTCCATGTCGTATTTTATGCTAACTTTGGATCAAAGAAATTACTAATTTAACAAATGGTGCTATAGAATGACTGATAAGATGGTAAGCATCATATTCCTTGCAAACAATTCTATGTCGTATTTTATGCTAACTTTGGATCAAAGGACTTCCTAGATGCTTGATAGTAAGGAGGTTTAACAAGAGTTTTGTTTCACCATCCATGTATACCTAGTGGATTTATAAGAACCGTCAAAGGGAATAATAAGCGCAATCACAATGATGAGAGGTTTAATGACTTTGAAATGATGATTAGGGGGCCCTATCATACTAAGTGAGAGGATGAGAATATATATAAGCTTTGTGTGCTAAAGAAGATTAGATAATTGTTGTGTTATGTGATTTATGTGAATTAAAGTTACCTTTATTCTTGTATGCATGGAGCCATGGACAAACTACCACACATGTGTGGTACCCATTGTTGTGAAGCATTGAAGGAAATGTACGTGTAAGAATCGAGCTTCTATTGCGTGTTTCCCTCATATATCAAAATTGTGTTATGTCAAGTTATTGAAAATCCTAATCATTGAAAAATTAGTATCAAACATGACCTTTAGACTATATCTCTAGCTTATCAAATAAATATTCATGAAGAATTGATAAGAGATCTTGCACCAATAGGGCGGTTAATAACTAGAATATGAACCACTTTTGAATTTCCTATTATCATCATTAACATTTTTCCAATGTTGGAGTTTGGTTATGAATTCTCATTTCTCTTTCATTCATGTTAAATGATGTATGAGATGTTATAACCCACCGAGCACAAATATTTTCAATTTTTTTTTAATCAATTTTACTTATTCATTTTCCTTCCAACTCCATTGATATTTGCTTTCATAAGCCTATATCCATACAACATAATGGGCCTAATTATAATTTATAAAATATACATGATGTTTCTACGATGTTCTCTTATCATATAAACTTTTAAGGCATTTATCTTCTTCAACAACCCAACTATAACTCTAAAAATTATATTCTCATGCATATCCTTATCATCCTGTATAACAAATTCAAGATTATTAAATATATCTCAGTTAAGATATCATTTTATCTTCTAATATATTTTTTTGATAATTGTTAATATTACACTCACTAAAATTGCATATCATATACAATATTTGTTCTGTTAGTCAAAACTTATTATCTTCTAAATATTTTATTCATTTTCTAGCTTTCATTAATTTTAATAGATATCTCATCTATTAAAATTGTACTATTTGTGAAGCATACATCAAGCTTCTCACATTGAAAGTTCTTTATAAGCATCTTCAGAACCAATAAAAAAATTTGCTTATATAGTATATAATCTCTTTAATAATAATTGATGCTTCATCATAAATATCTTTAATAACTTCAACATAGACAATTATTTTTTTCCTTCAAGAAATCACTTATCATGAAGCTCAATCAGAATCCTTCTCAAGTTTACTAGAAATCATGTGATGATTTTTCCTCCACTCATTATGCTATTTTGTTTATTGTTTTCACATAAATATTATTTGTATAATGATTTTTTTTATATGAAACTAAATTTATTCTTTGATAACAATATAATATCTTTAAATATCTAAATATGAAGAGCTACACAAAATTTAAGTTTTATACGGCATCATTGTTACTTGATAGAGCTTAGCTTTTTGTTAAAGAACTCAATCGGCTGCCATTCTTGAGACAAAACAACCCCAATCCCGTTGGTTTAAGCATCCATTTCAACATGAAAGGGCTTTTCAAAGTTGTCTTTGGCCAACACAGATGCCAAACTGAGTTTGTCCTTGTTGATTTCAAAATTTTTTGTTGTTTTGGACCTCAATTAAATGCTTTTGTTTTGAGCAGTTTGTAATCAATGCTTTTGATTTAATGGCTTTGAGTTTGCAGGCATCAATTTATATACTCTCATGGCTAATAACTAAACTCAAAAAATGTATAGCGCAAGTGGAAAACTTGCACTTAGGGAGATTTAAGTTGAGTTGGTTGCCCCTTAAAACAAATAAAACCAATTTACGGTGATGAAGATGATTCTAAAGTGGCACACTAAAAATAAAAATATCATTGAAATATGCAACCCAAAACTTTTGGAGAAAGGGTTACAATATCTCCTTCATTACATGCTTAAAGGTGCTTGGCCCATTACAAAGGTCAAACATCATTACTCACTACACGGACAGTCCTTACGATATCTTCCACTCGTTAAGTTCAACTTAGAAAAGAGTTACACACATGTGACTTTGTCCAAAAGGTCTTCAAGTTGTTGCTTAGGGAAGTATTTTTTTTAATGCCATTTTATTGAAAACTTAGCTATAAATACAAATCCGTCAACTTTCATTTTTATTGGGACAAGGCAGAAACAATGAAGAGCTGATGCTGAGCCTAATAAATTATTATTTTTAACATGTCATCAATTATTCTTGCAAAATTCTTTGATCATTCGAGTTGAGCTTGTAATGCGGTAATAAGTAACAAGAGACCCGAGATAAAGTCTATTTGAGATTGAATAGAACATAGTGGTAGTGGCTATTGCAGGCATGATGTCTTGGAATTGTAGGATGAGGTTCGAGATAGCTGTAGGCATTTCAACTTGGGGATTGGTTTTTTGGCTATCATGGATGCAAATAGGAAGGAGTTAATTCCCTCATACAATAAGAAAAATTTTATTGCTAGAAGGGCTGATTCTTGGTATTAGTGGTAAGTGGTAACAGAAGTAATTATACTTTTTTGCCCTTCCATTCGAAAAAGTAGACGTTAGCTCAATAGTCATAAATTGCACCCATAACAAATTGCTTTGATTAGCCTAAATAATGTGACATACATCCATTTGTAACTCATCAAAGGTGATGTCATAGATAGAAT